ATAACTTGCTTCCACTGTTGTGTTTTGGTTCATTAAAGTAACGAATGTCTCTCAGATCTTCTGTCATGTTTTTGTAGTACTGCAGTACAGCTGCTACCTGTGACCGGCTGCGTAGTGAAGGGCGTCTTCCGGGGTTTGTCCTCAGCCACCTTCCCCTGAGTCGTCCCCTGTTCCTCCTTGTTCTCCGCTTTGGAACGATCTCTCTCTTTTTCCTTCTTCCTCTTTCTCTTCTCTTTGCTGGTTTTCTCCGGGGCCTCATCGGGGACTTGAGCGGGGGTTTCTGGAGCTGGAGGCTCTGGAGGGAAAACAGGGAAATGACAAGCGAATGGGTGGGATAACCAGAAGATAAGCAAAGATTTGTTCAGGGGACCGGTTGAGGCGCCACATGACAGGAAACTTCTGTTGACATGAGATTGATCTGATCTTCCGAGTATCAAAGGGCAAAGTGAGAAAAAAACCTTATTTCCTCGTTAACAAGTAAACATTTTCCGACAGATACAGCTTGCCCCCACCTGCCTTGCCCACCATCCATCATCACGTCAAAGTGTCGGATGGTGTATTTGCCTGTTTGTATGTGTGTGTTGGCAACGTTTCTGTCCTTTACCGCCTCTCTGTCAGATAGCGTTATAATGACAGAGGGCCGCTGAAGATCAGAGCACAGAGATGAAAATGTGCCCCGGAGACTTGTGTTGCAGGTTTTTCACTTCATGGCTGGAGGCTACAGAACGCCGGTGAACACAGAGCGTTGCTGGGTTTCAAAACTGACACCATAGATCTGTATCTGCTCATGCAGGGTTGATAGGATCAGCCAGTTTAGCTCGAGCAAGACGGCAAAGTTCCACTTCGTACACACTGCAACAAGAACCACTGCTGCTGCTGGATTCTTTAAAATGATCTGATTAAAGGTTTAAAATCGTCCACATTTCCCTGAATCTCTGCTTTCATATTTTCTGTCATATTTAGGTGTTTAGGACCCTAACATTGATGAGGTTGGGTGTGAATTGGCAGCAAGCAGGGAACGTTCTCACAACATTACCTACAGATTTAAATAAGGTTTGAAAGAAAATCTAATGTTCCAACGTTANTAACGTTCTGGCTGCACTGGAAGTAGGAATGTATCACAAACTGCAGTGCAAAGTGTAAACTTCAGTTTTTCTATGACAAATTATACATTATTAAATATATATATATATATTGCTGGTTGAAAACACGTTTTAATTCATGCTGATAAACCATTTTCAGATCACAGAAAAGTGGAAAAACATCTGGTTTCGGTTATGATTAATGTACAAAATGCAAAAAAAAACCCTAATGTACTAAAATTAAATGCATCATCACGCTGCATCAGAACAACAAGCTGAACATGCAGAGCAGCCAAATATACAGCATATGCCAAATAAACTCTTGTTTCCTGGCAGCCTCCTCACAAATGACGTGCCAAAAAAAAAAAAAAAGACGGTGATAAAATCTTGTTAGAAACTATAAAGTATCATAGTAGAGTACAACTTTTTACTTTGGTTTGTGTAGTTGAAAGACCAGCCTGGAAATGGGACCACAAAAATAAAAGTGTGCATGAAAGTCACCACATCTTTAACAGTGTGCACCACAAATAAGGACGTTAAAGGGACCGAGGACAAAGGAAATCCACTGTGGGATCCTGTCTACATGGATACAACCCACAGCGTCACCACCTCACTCTCCTTCCACACTCACCGATCTGAATGTGGTTTGGCCCGATGTGAAAAGGCGTCACCAGGCCCTCCAAGAAGTCCCGGACCCGTCTGAAGTTGGTGCGTCCGATGCTCCAGGACCCGTCCACCAGCAGCACGATCTCTGCTGCTGCGTCACTGTCACACTCAAATGGTTTTCTTGGAGACATACCTGAACACAAGGACAGATAGGAACTGCCCTTTTGATTGTTTTTCATTTCCTTCGTATATTAGTGAGTAGCTGGAAACAGATGGCTGCCTGCATTTAGGCAGGAAAAAGGTGGTGCCACATGCAGGCCTGTAAATACTTTGTGTACATGTGTAGACATGGTTCATACATGAACATGAGTGAGCTTCCACGCATGTGAATGTCTGTTCTCCTGGATTATGAGGCAGAGAGGACACATGTGCCCTGCAGCCCAACAGGATGGCCTGTCATTAGCCGTTACCTGTCCTACCCTTGTGGAAACACTGTCATCACAATTCTCCAGCTTCATGTTTCAACAGAAGAGATGAACACGACGGCGGTCAGATGACCTTTAAGCTCAAGATACAGCCGTGAACAAAAGTTTACATACGCTTGTAAAGATCACGTACATCATGGCAGTCTTGAGTTTTTAGAATGACTCCTATGACTCTTAATTTTCTATGAACAAATCACTGAAACTCATGCGTCTTTGTCACAAAAAGCAACCATGCATTTTGTTTCTTTCATGGATTTATTAAATGTCTTCTAGAAATATGACAAAATCTGCTGGGTCAAAAAATACATATACAGAAATGTTAATTTGGTTAAATGTCATTTGGTCATTTTCACCTCAGTTTGGCGTTTTGTTTGTTGTCCAGAAGCTTCTGGTTCATCTCTGACTCCTCTGGACAGAATCGCTGCAGTTCAACTAAACTTGTCGTCTTTCTGACTCAGACTTGTTTCTTCATCAGTCCACAGGTTCTGGATGGTTCCAATCAGGACTTTGGGGAGACCAGTCTAGAACCTTCATTCCAGCCTGATGGAACCATTTCTTCACCACTTTGATGTGT